CGGTGACTGCATCTGTATGGCTACCTTGGTGGAAAAATGTGACTACAAATGAGCAAGATGTTCACAAACATTTAGTTGCTCTGACAAGCTGTGAGTGAAAAATTGTATTTATGACTTCCAGGTGTTTGTGGAGGGATAAGGAAAACACTGTCTTAGCCAACAAATAAGACTCCTGAGGCACTAAAAACATAAACAGAGATGACCCTTGTGCCCCCTGAGGTGACCTCACTTCCTGGCCTGTTCTGTTTATGAAGCATGTGTAAGACTGGCTTAGTGTGGTAGATGTGATATAAAGTATTTGTTGATGCTTTGACCTATTGTGTTTGTGTGCACACATGCATGTGTGTGTAATTCGTTTTTGCTCTTTCACTGTTCCTGGTTCTCTCTGGGATCAGAGTTGAAAACACCAAAACCAACAAGAATCTCTGCATGAGCAAGATAGAAAAGATCCTTGTAAGAAACCCCCAATGTTTTTGTACCTCATGTGTTTCATCTGCAAATGATCCCATGCTCTAAGGTTCCTGAGAACCTCTTATTGAAGGAATAGTATGAATGTCAATTCTCTCTTTCCCCTCCCCCCTTTCTCTTTTTTTCCCCCTTTCTTTTTTCCCCAAGCCAGTGGTCTCAGGGGTCTTTCTTATTTCAGAGAAGCATCTAAACATCTAAACTAAACATTTGGCTGAACTCTCTAAAGCTGCTTGGTTTATTCCATTGCTACTTCTCCACAAAATGCTTCAGACAGCTCAGCTAGCTGACTTCACGCTGCTGACTACAGATGCTTCACTAGTCTCATTCACAGCATACCTCCAGTGAGGAAAAGCACTGATCAGAATAAGTCAGGCTTAATAAAATCCTGCTTTGCAGTAGGTTTATTCTGTTTCTTGACCAAACTGGGGAATGTGGTTTCAAGCATAGTCATCATTATCAGCCTTTCCTCTATTACTCACTCTCCAACATCCAGCCACTGGGCAGGATATATATGTTTAATTAATTCTGCTTTTACCTTTGACCTGTAAATAGTGGGAGTGATGTCAGATTTATATGTTATATGAATAACAAGGATTTCTCAGGAGACCCTATCCTGGTGAAAGAGGCTAACTGTAATTTTCAGCTGTGAGTAATTGTATATAATATAATCCTAAATGATTTTTCTTCTGTAATTTCATTAGAGTTTAGAAATTTAATTAGATTTTGAATCACTCTGAAATAAAGTAGCAAAACACCCAGAGACTAAGAGCAGTGGTTATTTTGTCCTCCGAGGCCAGAATTCTTGGTCTCAAATTGGCATGTGTTCATTAGGAGGAAGTTTGCAGAAGTTCTTGATATATTATTGTCTTTCAGAATGGACTCTGAATAGGTCTTTGGAGAGCATTAGAAGAGCACACAATTATTATACAGACTCTTTTTGAGGTTTAAGATCATCTGCCTTGCATACACTTAATAAAAATATGCCTCTAAAGTTGTTTAAGAAACTGTGGAGATAGGAAAGATGCTCCTCCAGTGCCTCAGTGCTCTTCCTGGTTTATTAGCAACTCTAGTACCTGTGTATGATGATACAGAGAGGAGTTGTTTGCTTTACTTTAATGATTAGGTAGGTTTATGGTTATTTTTATTGCTACACGTATGAACTGTCATGATGGCTGTAATTAGAGGCACACTAAATTCTGTTCCTTCTCTTCCATCCTAGGTTCAAAAGAAGTCTGTCCTTCTGGCAAACTTTAATTCTCTGTGGAATTCATCCCATGTGCAAAAAATTCAATGAAACTGCACTAACAGGGCCAAAGCAAAGACCAGTGCAGCAGCTTATGATTGTGTGGGATGTCAGGATAGTTGTGGTGGGTTCAGAAAGGAGATCCTCTTAAAAGATTCTGAGGGATTAAATATGTAAATGCTTGTTCCTTTTTTTTTTTTTAAGTGGTGTAATGTGGTTTGTGTTTGTAGAGATGCCCAGATTTATATCGCTTAACTAAAAAAGGGAATTGGTCATTTAGGAGCACAGTTTCCAAAGCCTTTACTGAGATAGCAGTACCTCTTTTCTCATTTGGATTACTTGGTTGAACCAGGACTATCCACATGATTTTGTGAGAGTAGGTCTTTAAAGGGCAAAGCATGTAACAAATTGAGGAGTTAAATAGAAAGGAAAAAATTTAGATTACTTTCATCATGGCAACATTATAAGGAACCATAACAAAGCTATAGGCAGTATGAATTAAAGAATCTAACAGAAATGAGCAAGGCAGGAGAGAGCAAATGTTGTGAAATGAAGAATTTCAGTAAGATAAATCAAACAAACGCTAAACCATGGCAATCCAACCTATTTGAAAAGAAAGAGAAAACTCCAATGGAATGTGATGCATATGAGTCCCATAGTAAGAATTCAAAAGGAAACCTCCAGGATGACGAGGATGTTCTGTTGTTGATTGTTCTATGTAACAGTTGCTAGAATCCTCTCTATTTGCCACCGTGGGCAGACATGGAGTGAACAGTTCATTGGTCTGATCCAAGGAGTCATTTCCTTTGTTTCATTAACAGGTCTTGATAAATCCAGTCCTCAGGCTCAAATATAAGCTCTTAGAGTGTGGCCAAGCAAGTCTTGAAGTCTGATAGAAAAAAATTCTTGGAAAAAGATCGAAAGTCTTTGTGCACTTGGCTTGGTAGGTATCGATGGAGATTTGGCAGCCTCAGGGCAGTCTGGTGGTGTGTGGACATGCTGCCTTCTTCCATTAATGCGTCATGTCACACCATGGAACAAATTGAAGAAAACATGTTCAGGCTGGTTACTGCCAAAAATCAAGGTGCTTTTGCTATGGGCATCCACAACAAGTGGAAACTATGCTTGAAAAATCACAGCTGCTCTTCATTTGCTATTTTCTCCATCTCTTCCTCTGTCAGGACTCTGAGCTGTTGGGACAACTGGGAGGGATTCCACATCTCAGCAAGCAGCAGAATCACAGATGTCGTGTGTGTTAACAAAGGGTAACACGCCTGCACCAGTTATTTAACGCCTTCCACCCTTGACATTAAGGAATACCATGGGAAACCATTCAATATTTCAGTCTCGCTCCTTTCCCGCCCACCACCACCACCCCTCCTGCATCTCCCTTTCTTTTTCAATGTGAAGGAACAGAGATGCTGGTGCATTTTAA